CAGGGCCTGGGCCTCAGAATCTGAGTTAAGGGCTGGTTCAGACTCACTTTCCCTCCTTTGGGGCAAGTAGGGTTTGGGTGGGCAGCAGCTAGGGGCCATCAGGTGTGGGTCATGCTGCCAGGGCTGGAGGGGGAAGGCAGACACTGCTGGGGGGGAGGGGGAAGGAGCCTACAGGGGTGTGTGGATGGGGGTTGAAGGAGCAGGGAAGGTCTGTGGGCACTCTCTCCGGCATAGGAGAACCTGGGTAGCATTCCCTTGCTAGGACCCAGCCCTGCTGCAAGTGCTGTAATGCTGGGCAATCATCCTGTGCCTGCACTGCAGGCTAGGGCTGGGTCCAAGCCCACAATTCAGGCAGCTGCAGCCCCACCTCCCCTCGCCCAAATGAGGGGCTGAGTGGCCTAGCCCCCCACCAGCCCCTGGCTCCCCAACCAAGCATAGCCCCTACCCCATGCAGGAGGAGTCTGGCACTCAGTCATGCCTCTCAGGGGTCCCTGGCCCCACACCCTCAGGGCCCCACTACACAGCTGTCCCATGGGACCCTACCCCCCCACACTCAGGGCCCCCTGCCCTCCCTGTAGGGTACCCCTGCCCTACCCTTACACCCTTCTCAGCCTCACCACTATTCCCCCTCATGACCCATACCCTCTCCCCCTACAAACCCCACTCAGGAGCCCCCTGCCTTGCACGCAGAGCTCACATCTGATATCTTGCGAGTCACACACCAGCCCCAGCCCTGAGCACCCCCCTTACCGCTTTCCTAGCACTCTAGCCCACACCAGCTGTGTTGACTGGCAGTGTGTGTGGTCACAAGGTGCACTCAATCCTCCCGCAAACCCCAATAGCATGGAAATAAGATGATAAAGGGGACAGTTAGTATGTTTCTTCAAACATTCATATTGCCTGTGATACTGGAGATGAGGCACTCCATGAAGCTTTTTCTTCCAAAGTCTTCAAAAAGTGCCAAGAAAGATATGCTTTATGGTATTTTTGTTCTCTAATGCAAAACCTTAACAGTCATCTCAGGTGCTTGTATCAAAGGATCAGCTGCAGCTGGACACACATCTGGTGAGCTAAGGGAGAGCTCTGATTTTCCATGGTAAAAAATCCAATGCCAAAATATAGAGGTATTTAGAATTTGTTTTAGGATTATGATTAAGGCACTGGGAAGCTTCCAAATTACTTTAAAACTAAATATATGAATAAAACGTTGTGTTCAACTGATACATAGTGGAGTTTCACGTTAAAAAGTCCAAAATCCATGGTTTTCTGCAGTTATCAGATTGTTTTGGATTTTTTAACAGATAATCAGGATCCCTGCTCTCCCAAAGGAGACAATCTGGTGACTGACTTGAACATAGAGGGAAATCTGGGTGATAGCAACCACGAAACCATCACGTTCACTGTCCATCGCATGGCAGAAAATTAGCAGGGTTGAAGTTTTGGACTTCAAAAATGCCAATTTCAGCAAGCTCAGGACAATAGTAGGGGAAGTGCTGTGGGACCAGGGACCGGAAGTAGAAGGAGTACATGAAGAGCGGTCGTTTCTTAAGGGCACAATCCTTGAAGCACAAAAGAATTCCATTCCCATACAGAGGAAGGGTAGCAAAGGGCTGTGAAGCCCTCCTGGCTAAATAGGGAAATCACGGTCCTCTTGAAAAAGAATAAAGAGGCTTACAAACAGTGGAAGCTTGGGACAGTCCTCAAGGGGGACTATACAACAACGGCTTGCACATCCGTTGTACAGTTCCAAGGGGGACCATATAATGGCTGTGTAGGGAGCAGATTAGGAAGGCTAAAGTGGCAGCTGAAGTTAAATTAGCAACTGAAATCAAAGCCAATAAGTCCTTTAGGTATGTAGGGAACAGGAGGAAAACAAATGGGAGTGTGGGGCCGTTGCTCAACAACTCAGGACAGCTGGTTACTGATGCTCAGGAGAAAACTGAAGTCCTGAATGACTACTTTGCTTCGGTATTTCACTGGACCCAGAGGAAAATCATGCTAGATAGAATACAGAATGTGCATGGTGGGAATGACCGCCTTCCTACTACTGACATCAAACTGGTGTGCAATCAATTAAAAAAATTAGACATCTTTAAGTCAGCAGGACCAGATGAACTTCATCCAAGAGTGCTGAAGGAGCTGGCCAAAGTCATGGTGGACCCCCTGGCAAAACTTCCAAAACTCATGGTGCTCAGGGGAGGTCCCATGTCATGCCCATCCACAAAAAGGGGAGGAAGGAGGACCTGGGTAACTATAGGCCAGTTAGTCTAACTTCTATCCCAGGGAAAATCGTGGAGAAATTCATTAAGGAGTTATGTGCGGTAGGTTTGCAGAAAGCAGGATTCTGAATGACAGCCAGCATGGCTTCATTGTGGGCAGGTCTTGTTTTACCAGTCTCATCTCCTTCTATGACCAGATGACTTGCCACCTGGATAAGAGAGAGGAGGTTGACACTATAAGGCCAAAAGGCCTATGATCTGGTATCCCGTCATGTTCTCATGGGAAAACTGGAGGACTGCAGGCTTAACTACTTGACAGGTGAGTAGGAATGCTGGCTGCAGGGTAGGACCCAGAGCACTCTAATGAACTGATCTGTGTCGTCCTGGAGAAGTGGCCAGTGGTATCCCTCAGGGGTTGGTACTTGGTCCAGTTCTTTTCAACATCTTTATCAATTACTTGGATGTGGGGTGAAGAGCTCACTGGCCAAGTTCATGGATGACACCAAGTTATGAGGGAGCATGGTCATACTTGAAGATAGGCTGCAGATACAGGCAGACCTAGACAGGCTGGCAAGCTGGGTGGATCGGAACCAGATGAAGTTCAACCTTGAGAAATGTAAAGTGCTCCACCTGAGGACGAACAATCCCCAACATACTTACAGGCTCGGTGGCACTAAACTGACTAGCACCATGACTGAAAGGGACCTAGGGGTAACAATAGGCAATAGTATGAACATGAGCTGTCAGTACGATGCTGTAGCCAATACTCTAGCATGCATTAACAGATTCATCTCAAGCAAAACCAAGGAAGTGATTCTTCTGCTTTACTCGGCACTGGTGAGACCGCAGCTGGAGTATTGGGTCCAGTTCTGGGCGCTGCACTTCAACAAAGACATGGTAAAGCTTGAGAGAGTCCAGATCAGAGACTTGGATGGCAAGCCATACCAGGAAAGGCTGAGGTACCTGGGACTCTTCAGCCTAAAAAAGAGAAGGCTGAGAGGGGACTTGGTAGCAGTTTATTGCTACACCAGGGGAATACATCAGGGGCTCATCCAACAACTGTTCACCAAGGCACCCTTGTGGAAAACTAGGAGTAATGGTCACAAACTCCTGGAAGACGGTTTTAGGCTTAACACTGGGAAAAACTTCTTCACAGTTAGAGTGTCCAGACTGTGGAATAAGCTCCCCACAGAGGTGGTGCAATCACCTGCCCTGGAGATCTTCAAGAGAGACTGGACGGTCATCTCGCTGGAGTCATCTGACCCCAGTTGTCTTTCCTGCCTAGTGCAGGGGGGCTGGATTTGATGATCTTGCCAGGTCCCTTCCAGCCCTTTCAATCTATGCATCTATGAACTAGGCACAAAGGCTGGAAATTTCACCACCAGCTTCAAGTGCAGGAGTCCCAAGGGAGAATGCCAGTATAAACACTTGTGCTACAGTACTGCTTCCCTTCAAATGCTTCTGAGGCACTCATGATTAAGCTGCCAACAACTGCTTTGAGGTGCAGAACCACTAAGATAGCAAGTGGGCAACAAAGCTGGGAATAAAACCCAGGCCTATACTCCCAAACAAGGCAGGAAATCTGAGACCAGCAATACAGAAACACCCAAGTTCATTCACCTCTATAAAAGGAATTTCATGCTGCCTCAGCATGTTCACTGACAGCTCAGCTCACCTGGACAGGTGCTGAGGGTGAGGTAGGGCAAGTCTGTTGGTGACCACTCTAGTTCAGCCAGGATAACTGCAGGGGCTGATCTCTGACACGCAGTTCCACTGGCCTCCATAGATTGACTCCAGCTCCACATGTAGATAGTACCTGCCTTAGAGCTCTTGGAAACTAGAGAAACAAATGCCATGCAGCAGGTAATCATTGATTTAAACACAATTGGAGAACGTCAAACCCTTTTCAAAAGAAAATGGTTACTCCTCTGAAACACTGAACAGCAACAGCTGAGATTCTCCCACCCTTTCTTGCCAAAAGGAGATGCTTTATTTTTTTACCTCCAGTACATCCTGGAATATATTATACACTTTTTTTTTTGGAAAGCAGAATGAAGAAAAAACATTTTTTCTAAACTTAAGTGCCTTCAACACTGTCTCTCACCCCATTCTCATTAAAAAAC